GGCCCTGCAGCTCGGCCGCCTCCCACCCGTCGAGCCCGGCCGCGCCTTGGGAGTCCCGGAGGGCCCTCTGGAAAGCCTCGAAAGAGGGAGGGCGCCAAGCGGGGTCAGCAGGGACCTCGGGGACGCCCCACTCGCGAGCAACGGCGACCCAGTCAAGGGGGGGACCTCCAGGGTCGGGGACCCACCACGGTTCCCACTCCCGCCGCATATCCTCAGCCGAGAAGACTGGGGCAGGAGCGGGCTCCCGCATCGTCTGGGCGGCCGCGGCCGCCGTGCGGGCGCCCCACTTGCGAAACTGAGACCGCCACGTCTTCAGGGCGCGGTCCTGGGTGACCTTAGCTTCCGCCATAAGCGCCCGGGACAGAGCCTGAGCCGCCTCGCCGAGGGTCGGGGGGAACCCTTGGACCAACCCATCCTGGCAGGCGAAGCCCCACTTGCGAGCGACCAGGGGCGGCAAGGGCGCCTCGGTGCCCGCAGAGTTCGCTCTCCCGGCCGCCACGACCAGCCTGTGGAGCCGGAGCAGGCGCCGCTCGCGGATCGTAGCCTCGCCCCGCGTGGGGCCACTAGGGGCCACGGGCCGCGTCTCGGTCGAAACGCCCTTCGGTCGCTCGGCCGCCCGGGCGACGGTGGCCACGCCTAGGGCGGCGGCCGCCGTCAACGCTGCCTCAGCGCGCTGGTGCCACCGCGCCAAAGCCTCGGTTGCCCAATCGGAAAAGCGGGGGGGGGCGGAGCTATGCTGGGGGCCCCCCCAATCGTTGGCCGCCGCGGCCAACAGCCCCGCCTCGTCCCGCGAGGGCGCGCGGACCCACTCGTAGCGGGCCGCCCGCCGGAGGCGGCGCGCCTGCACCGGCGGGGGGGGAGGGAGGTCGACGTCGTACACCACCCCGAAATGGTGAGGGACGGCCGGCAGGGGGGCCGCGTCCGCCACCTCCGCCGAGCAGCTAAGGCCGACGAGGCGAGAGGGGGAAGTGAGGGCAGTCGTGGTCGGGGGAGAGTTCGCGACCGCCCACGGCGCCTCGGCGAGATCATTATACCCCGCCTTCCAATTGAAATCACCCACCACAATCCCAGGGAGGGGGCCGGCCACGCTGGACAAAGCATCTAACGATCCCGCAAACCAGACCGAATCTTCGTGGCCGACGGGCCCATACACAGACGACATCGCCCAGCCATCGAAGCGGCGGTGGCAGCGACGCCAATCGTCAGGGCTCGACACGGGCGTACCTTTTCCCATAGCCGGCCGCCATAAAATAGCCGTGCCACCCTGCCGCGGGCGAGGGGGGAGACCGCTGGGATTTCCGCGCCGGATCGTGCCGCGAGGATTCCTGGGACCCTGACTGCCAGCCGGCGGGGGGACCGCCGACCACTGGACCCGCCACCCCCGAGCCTGGAAGTACGGTGGGCACCACCGGAACCCGTAGCGCGAGTCCGAGTGGCGCGTCTCCTGGAGGGCCACAACGTGGCACCCCCACTCGTCGGCCCTGTCAAGGACAGCGGCGGCCCTTTCGCGGGTCAGGACCGTGACGTTCACCGACAGGATCCGCACCTTAGACGTCCGTGCGCCCAATGCGGACGCGACATTCGCCTCGCCACGAGGCCGGGCACCACCCAAAAGGAGGGGGGGGAGGGAGGGGGAGGGGAGGGGCAGGAGGAGGAGGGAGGGGCGGGACGGGAGGGGGAGAGGGCGGGGGCAGGAGAGGGAGGGAAGGGAAGGGGGAGAGAAAGGTGGGTGGTGCCCGGGGCCAGGAGTCAAGAAGCGGCATCACCTGAGGTCGGGGCCGCACGTCTGGACTTCCGCGCTTCATAGCGTGCGCGGTTATGGGCCTTGCGAGCCTCTGGGGTCAAGGCCGCCCGCCAATCCCTCTTCCGTTGGGCGTCCCGAGCCTTCGCGGCAGCGGACCGAGGCGGGAGCTGCGCGAGCCCGACCCCTCGACGAAACTGGGCGTCACGGCGGCCGCTCGGGAACGTGCCGGCCGGCCGCCTACTGCACGGCACCACGCGCATCAACGACAAGGCCCGTTGCGCGCCGCACCGGGTGCACACGTACTGCACGTGCGGGCGCTGGCCAGTTCCTCCTCCTCCTCCTCCTCCTCCTCCCCGCGCTTTCACCCCATATCATCATAATCCTCAGATTCCCTCCTCCTCCTCCTCCTCCTCCTCCTCCTCCTCCTCTTCCTCCTCCTCTCCCTCCTCCTTCTCCTTATCCTCATCCTGCTCTTTCTCCTCATCCTACTTCTTCTTATTCTTCGTCGTTCTATGATTACCATTATTCCCCAATCAGAGCTTGCCTCTGTAGGGGACCTAGCGGATTCATATGATTAGGTGAGGTTCGTCGCGGATTTCGGTGACCGGCCCGGGTGCCGAGGGGTGCCCGAGGGTGCCCGGGTGCACAGGGGTGCCCGGAGGTGCCTGGGGGTGCCAGGAGGTGCCCGAGGGTGCCCGGAGGTGCCCGAGGGTGCCCGGGTGCCCGGGTGCTCTATCGCCGTATAGCCCTGTAGCCTATAGCAATAACCCTATAGCCCTATAGCCCAATAGCCCTACAGCCTTATAGCCCTATAGCCCAATAGCCCTATAGCCCTATAGCCTTAGAGCCCTAGAGCCCTAGAGCCCTATAGCCCTATAGTCCTATAGCCCTATAGCCCAATAGCCCTATAGCCCCATAGCCTCATAGCCCTATAGCCTCATAGCCCTATAGCCCTATAGCCCTATAGCCCTATAGCCCTATTGCCCTATTGCCCTACAGCCCTAGAGCGCTATAGCCCTATAGCCCTATAGCCCTATAGCCCAATAGCCCAATAGCCCTATAGCCCTAGAGCCCTATAGCCCCATAGCCCCATAGCCCTATAGCCCTATAGCCCTAAATAGACTATGAGTGGGGCTTTCCTCCGGTATCAGTGTTAGTAGTACTTGTCGTAGTATTAATAGTAAAATCGTTAATGGTATCTGTATTAGCAGTACGATTATGGGTATTAATAGTAGTAGTTATTGTAGTTGAAATAAATGTAGTGGTAGTAGTACTGATAGTGTCGGTTTTGTTCTTCGTATTGTGAATAATCGTTCTACTCGTTTTATTATGAGTAGTTTTCTTGCTACTATAAATATACTTAATATTACTAGTAGCACAAATATGCTATTGGTATCCCTCTTAGTATGTTTGATTGCTATGTTATTATTGGGCTTAATATTATGAGCCTTGGTATTCATAATGCTATTGATCATATTATTGGTATTGTTATTATGGTTATTTTTAGTCATACGATTGCTATTAGTATCCTCCTCCTCATCATCCTCGTCCTCCTCCTCCTCCTCCTCCTCCTCCTCCGTCATCCTTCTATTCATCCTCATCCTCATCCTCCGTACTCCCCCTGCTCCTCCTCCTTATCATTAGTATCCTCCTACTTGTTCATCCTGCTACACCTCTTCAGCCTCCTCATCGTTCCCCTTGTCTCAATGACGTCGGTCGAATATGACCTCTGTGGAATGTAATTCAGCACAATAATAAGAAGAGGAGTCAGGAGGATGGAGGGACTAAGGGAAGACTAAATGGAGAAAGCAGTGTTGAGGTGATCGTGGCGGCCTTGTTGGTAAAAAACGGTTGGATGAATGCCTTGCGCGGACACTGGCACGCACAATCGAACCAGCCGCTCAGCGAGCAACCCTGCGCTCTATTTTCTGAGGACGGAACAGTCGCCTCGCCAGATACGAAACGACGGTGGACACGGCAAACGCGTGCAAATGCCACCGGCCACTGGACCACTGGACGCGCCCAACGTGTGCAGAAGGTCGGCGGGCCGAACACTGAGACTTAGTGTCGCTCTCTGACCAGACCTTCACCACGATGTCGTCGTTGTCACCGCTATCTCATGGTGGTCTGGGTCGGAAAGCAGCCGGGCTTGTGCGGAGCTGCCCGCGCCCAGTCGGCCACGACGTGCTCCCACGCCGAAGGCTGGGTCACGCCGCCGCTCCGCTCCTCGGGTGCGCAGCACACTCCGAAGAACCCCTCGACCGCCGGGTCGTGCTCCTCGGTGCAGAGGAGGCCCGCGAAGCGGGCGACCCCTTACCCTACCGAGGCGCGATGCCTGCACGTCCGGAGCTGGGCGCGACGCATGGGCGACGACGATCGACAGGCGCTCGTCCATCGCGGGGGCCGCCCCGTTGAGGAACCCGAAGGTCCTCCTGTTTCTGACGGGGGCAGCACCCTGGAAGGCTTGGAAGCTCGGCCTGGCTGTCACGTTGATGGACAAGACCTCCTCCACGTTCTTAGCGAACTCGGCCCAAGGCCTCCACCTCCTCCCCGTGAGAGCGCTGGCCGATCCCCCGTGCAGGGCAAAATGGTCGGGCGTGCCATCGGCGGTCCCCTGGGTCGACGTGTGCACGCGGATCTCGCCCCCGCCAACCCACTCACCTCCAAGGACGACCTCCGCTGTCCACAGGCCGCAGGTCGACGCAGGTGCCAGCCTCATGCTGGCCCGGATCTCGAGCTGAGGCGGGAGGCTCTCGTCGAACGGCGTGCGCAGGAGGACGTGCTCGCCTGGCTCATTGGCGTCAAGCGAGGCCCCGATCAGGTTCGTGATGCGGGGGTCTCCCACGGCCGTGCTCGGCAGATGCGGCACCGGGGCCCCAGTCGGGCTCGGCGTAGGGGCCGGCGCAGGGTCTGGCGCTGGTGCCGGCGTAGGATTGGGCCAATCACAGATCTGTGGAGCAATTCGTGCACATGTGTGGCGACCTGCCCTTGGCCGACGACGCTGCGCTCGCTTCAGCGAGAGCCACAGCAGCAGTGGGCCTGCACCGGGGGAAGGGCAGCTGCGCTTCACCTCCCCACCGCCCCCCCAACCCGAGAGGAAGTGGCGGAGGAGGGAGGGGGGAGGGGGAAGAGGACGAAGAGGGAGGAGGGAGAGAAAATCAGGAGGGAGGGAAGGGCCGGAGGAAGGACTGGGAGGGGAGGACGGGGGGGAGAGCAGGCAGCGGGCGACAGGATTCGTGGTCTCCCCTAGGAGGTCCTCTTCACTTCCTCGTCGTCCTCGAGGATCTGAAGCAACTTGAAGATCCGCTCCCTGGAGGCCTCGCGGCAGCCAGCCCCCAAGAACAGATCCAGCAGCGCACCCCCAAGCCAGAGGAAGCAGAGACGAGAAAAGGGGAAGAAGGATGAGAGGAGAGGGGCAGGGAAGGCTGGCTAGGTGCGCTCGTGCCATTCCTGGCAGCTTCAGCTTACCAATCCCAACCACGCCCCCCGCTGTGTGCTGAAGTATGTTGCGTCCACAAGTGTCCCAGATGACCTTGATCTTAAAAATTGCCCCTATCAGCCCCATCATGTGTGATCAATCAGACGGGGACTTCGTAAGTTGGAGAAGGAGGCGGCGGATGAGCATCAGGATGGGCAGGGGGAAGAGGAGGAGCAGGAGGAGAGAGGATGAGAGAGGCGGAACAGCAGCAGCATGAGCACGAGGAGCAGGAGGGTCAAGAAGAAGAGAAGGATCAGCGAAGGAGGAGGAGGAGGAGGAGGAGGAGGAGGAGGGTGAGGAGTGGAGAGGCAACGACGACGAGGGAGTCGGATCCAGAAATGCGGCGCTGAGACAAGAGTCACCATAAACGACGGGGGCCGAGCGCCGATCCTGCCGTGCGCCGGCGCTGCAGCGGGAGCACCACGCTCGAGGGGCCGAGGAAGACCCGACCGAGCACAACAGGCTGGAGACCACGCGTCTGGAACCTCTCGCGAGAGAGAGAGAGAGAGAGAGACAGAACGCGGGCGAGGCGACGGCACCCCGGCGAACGGTGCCAGGGCAGAGGAGAAAACGGACTGCGGCCCCGGGGCCCTTCTGCGGTCGGGAGGGGCCGGCGGAGCGGAAGGGCACGGGGCGGGAGCGGGCGCGGGAGCGGGCGGGAGGCCAGGGAGGGGGGGAGGGCAGTGGAGGCGCAGGGCAAAGGGAAGGGCGGGGACAGATCAGCGCAGGGCGGAGCATGGGAGGGGGAGGGCGCCAGGGACGGCGCAGGGGGAGAGGGAGAGGAGGGGCAGAGAAGCCAGTGCTGGGCTCGACGACAGCCCAAGCCGCAGCCTGGGAGCAGCGGCGCCGCTTCCTGATCTGGCCACTCCACGCAGAGTGCAGGTGAACTTACGACCAACACTGCTGGAGGGCGGCGACAAGAGAAGGGGGAGGCGGGGGATCAGAAGCAGGAGAAGAGGGACCAGGAGCAGCAGGAGGACAAGGAGGAGAGAGCGGAAACAGGCGGAGGAAGAGCAGGAGACACGGGAGGACGTGGGCAAGGAGAGGGGGGGGGTAGGGTTCATTTGCCATGTGGTGGCAGCCTGGTGGAGGAATACGATGGCCCTCAACTGCGGAGCGTGAGCAGGCGTGGGTGCAGAAAGGAGGCACGGGGCGCGCGGGCGGGCGCCCCCGTCCTCGAGAGACGCCAGCAGGCCCTCGCGTCGCTCCATCAGGGCTGCCGGGGCCTCCTCCCCGATCAGCGGGTACCTCGGCCGGGGGAGACGGCGGGCGGGGGAGGAATGGGAAGGCTTGGCGGAGGGGGAGGAGGCGGGCGGACGAGGGGAAGAGGGACGACGGCGACGAGGGCGAGGCGGCGGCGGGGAAGGAGGGGGGGAGACCGAGGAAAAGCGCGGGAGCTCAGGAGGTCGACGGCGCGGGAAGAGTTCGGAGGAGGGGGGGCGGGAGGAGGGAGAGGAGAGGGAAGGGTCGGCGGCGCAAGAGGGAGAGGAGGAGGAGGGCAAGAAGGAGGAGAACAAAGGGAGAAGACGAGCGGAGAAAACGGACGACGACGACGACGACGACGACGACGACGACGACGAAGGGGACGACGACGACGACGACGACGACGGCGACGACGACGACGACGACGAAGGGGAGGACGACGAGGACGAGGAGAAGGCGAGCGCGCCGGCGGAGGTGCTGTGGCCAGAATCCCACCAGCTCTCTGGCCGTAGGTGGTTGAGCGCGTCTGTTCATCCAGCCCTGTGGATGCCATGTCAACGGACACCCTAACGATCCTATCATTGCATTAAAAATATTTGAAACGTGTAAAACCTGTCCTGAACATGCTTCAAACATGTTTTTTACATGGTTAAAACATGTCTGAAACATGTTTTAACATCTGGAAATTATTTGGAAGCCTGCTTCCTCTCCATTAATCGACTTCCACAAATCAAGCCCACGTCCTCTCCTTCGGGGAGGTTTTACCCGTCCCCCGCCCCACGCCTGAAAAGTTCCAACACACCCGCCTAGCGAAGCCTCCTGGGGGACTCCTGGGAGCCTCTTGGGCGCTTCTCGGAGGCTCTTGGAGCCTTTTGGGGTCCTCTCGGGGAGATCTGGGTGCCTTTGGGTGACGTCTTGGGGGCTTCTGGGGGTGCCACCCACGGTTGGCTGCAACGATCTTTTCACAAGTGGGAGGGTTTCTGATAGCCTCTTGAGCCATCTTGGGGGCCTGGGCCGTCTTGCAGCCGTACTGGGGCCCTCTGAGGCAATATTGGGGATCTCTTGGCCGTGTTAGTACCCTATTGGGGCCCTTAGGGGCTGTGGGGCGGTCTTGGGGTGATCTTGGGAACCTATGGGTCCTTCTTGGACGCACTGAAGACGGAGAAGGCGACGATGGCAAAACGGCAGTTCTATTTGAGAGCAACACACAGTGGCACAAACTGGCCCGTAGAATGCCCAGGGCGGCCAGTGACCATATGCCATGCGTGCTACGCCAAGCTGACCATGGGGCTGTGGAAAGACGTATGTAAATGTTTCACCTGAATGCATACATACAGACATACATACATGCATACATACATACATAAATGCATACATACACACACACCTATACATATATATATATGTATGTATATATATATATATCCGTACATACATACATACATACATACATACATACATACATACATACATACATACATACATACATGCATGCATGCATGCATGCATGCATGCATGCATACATACATACATACATACATATATACATACATACATACATACATGCATGCATGCATGCATGCATGCATACATGCATGCATACATACATAAATACATACATACATACATACATACAGACAGACATACATTCATACACACATACATATATGCATGCATGCATGCATGCATATATACATACATACATACATGCATGCATGCATACATACATACATGCATACATGCATGCATACACGCATACCTACATACCTGCATACCTATATACCTACATTCATACGAACATACAGACAGACAGACAGACAGACAGACAGGCAGACAGACAGACACACATACACATACACACATACACACATACACACACATGCATGCATGCATGCATGCATACATACATACATACACACATACACACATACACACGTTAAATGTATGCATACATATATAAACACGTGTATGTCTATATACATAAATATATATATATATATATATACACACACATGCAACTGTAATTATACTCAGGAGGTCCCTGCAATCTGTGCGACAACGGGCCCGTGTAGTGCACCCCCTAGTGGCTCCCCGTCGGGTGGCCCACATGCCGTGCCTGCTACACTGCGATGGAGCAATCACTCGTTTACAGATGTCCTCCTCCCTGCAGCGCAGGCGCATCCTCCTCCTCCTTTTCCTCCTCCTCCTCCTCCTCCTCCTCCATCCCCCTTCCCCCTTCCCCCTTTACCTCCCTTCCCACGTCCGCCTCCCCCCCCACCCGCGCCATCCTCCCGCTGCCCGTTCCCCATCCGCCCACCCGCCATCTCGTCCACCCTCCCCCCCCTCCATCCACACTCCTTAAGAGGGCAGAAAATCCACATCGATAATAACCACGCCGACACGCGAAGCCGTTTAGTAAACGCACACGAAGAAGGAATCAAACAGGGCAGGGAGTTTAGTAAACGCCCGGGGCCGTTTGGTAAACGCCAATTGTCCGGTCTGGGTGAGTTTCCCTCCCTTGACTCCTGTTCACGCTCCACTGATCCAGTGCGGCCGACCCCTCCTCCCCCAGGGGCTGCCGGCTCGAACCAAGCGCGGCTTCCCCAGTGCGGCCTCCAGTGCGACGGCGTCGGCCTCAGGTGCGGATCGGCAGCGTCCCAAACTCGGTCCCCGATGGGAAAAGGCGATCGGTGGACCAGAGGGCGTCTGCGGCCCTCGCTTGTCCACGATGAAGTCGATCATGTTGGTGTCCTTGCGGTTGCGTCGACATTAGCTGAGACACAACGGGCAGAAAGGAAGGAGGAGGACGAGAAGAAAAAGGCGGAGAAAGAACAGGAGGAGGACGAGGAGGAGGCGGACATGAAGGAGGAGGAGGAGGAGGAGGAGAGGAGGTTCGACTACATTTTCAGCGCCTGTCGCAACCATCCACCCTTTCTGCCCCCCCCCTCTCACTCTTTCTCGTTCCCTCTCTCTCTCACTCTTTCTCTCTCTCTCTCTCTCTCTCTCTCCCTCTCTCTCTCTCTCTCTTTCTCTCTCTCTCTCTCTCTCTCTTGTGGGGGGGGTCCCTCTCGCCCCCGCCCTCTCACTCATCCACTGGCCGTCCGCCCAAGACGGGTGCGTAAGGCATTTTAGCCGACTCGCACCAGCCAGGGTGCGGGGTGCGCCGGCCGCTTGCCACCGAGCGCCCAGACGACTCGTCGTCCAGCTGGTCCGCTCTTTCTCTCTCTCTCTCTCTCTCTGTTTCTCCCTTTCACTTTCTAGTTGTCTCTTTGTCTCTCTCTCTCTCTCCCTCTCTCTCTCTCACTCTTCCTCTCTCTCTCTCCCTCTCTCTCTCTCTCTCTCTCTCTTTCTCTTGTGGGGGGGATCCCTCTCGCCCCCGCCCTCTCACTCATCCACTGGCCGTCCGCCCAAGACGGGTGCGTAAGGCCTTTGAGCCGACTCGCACCAGCCAGGGTGCGGGTTTGCGCCGGCCGCTTGCCGCCGAGCGCCCAGACGACTCGTCGTCCAGCTGGTCCGCTCTTTCTCTCTCTCTCTCTCTTTCTCTCTTTCTCTCTGTTTCTCCCTTTCACTTTCTAGTTGTCTCTTTGTCTCTCTCTCTCTCTCTCCCTCTCTCTCTCTCTCTCTCTTTCTCTCTCTCTCTCTCTCTCTCTCCCTCTCTCTCTTTCTCCCTCCCTCTCTCTCTCTCTCTCTCTCTCGATGCATTGATGCCTCGCCATATCTCTTGCATCATACCTCTCTCACTGTCCACTGTCGGGGCCACCCATGCAAGCGGCATTCGCATATCGCCCACTCGTCCTCCTCCGCTTCGGCATCGTCCTATTCCTGCTGTTCCTCCTTTCCTCCTCATCCAGCGATAAAAAAGGAAAACGGGCAAAGGAAGGGGGAGGGCGACGAAGAGACGAAGGAACGGGGGAGGATGGAGGATGGAGGATGGGGGAGAGGAGTGAGGGACGAGCAGGAGGACGAGCAGAAGGATGGAGGCATAGAGGGGAGAAGCGAGGAGGGATGATAATGGGGTACAAAAGGAGAAAGGCGAGGAGGGACAGCGGGTGGAAGCAAGAGGACGGGGAGACGAGAGCGGACAGTAGGAGCGAGGAGAAGCAACGAGGAGCGAGGAAAAGAACGAGGAAAAGGACGAGGAAAGGGAAGAACGAGGAGAGCAAAAGGACGAGGAAAGGGAAGAACAGTAGAAAAGGAGCAGAAAGGCGGAAAAGGAGGAGCAAGGAAGGACATGATGGAAAGTTGGCAAAAGAAGAAAAAGTGCGGATGGCGAGTGGCTAGGGAAGGATAGGAAAAGAGATGGGCGGGATGGACGTTGAGACGCGTCGGAGAGCGGAGTGCGGTGGCTCGAAGATGCAGGCTGGCCCAAGGCGCCCCATTGTTTTCCCAGCCAACTCCCTCCTCACCCGAAAACGCAAGAAGCAGGAGAGGGATATGGGAGGGAGGTTGAGCCCGCACCTCCCCGCCCCGCTCCCTCCCCCCCTCCCCGCCCCCATCGAGAGGACGGGGGGGAGGGGGAAGGGGCAGGGGTGAGGGATGAGACGGCAACCAGCTACGTGACTCCGCAGCTCCGCGCGGACTCCTCGGATCGGCGCCGGACCCCCCGAATCACCCGGCGCGCGACGCGCGCCATCGGGCCACGGAAGCGCGGCAGGGAGAGGGGGCCCACCGCCGACGGGAGCAATCCGCACGGAACTCGGCATGTTTATGTGCATGCCCCTGTTTCAGGGGGACGTAGGACCTGGGTACAGGGGACTCGAAAATCCTCGGCGCGGTCGTCAAAAAAATGACGAGGCCGAGCCTGCATTTTGACGAGGCCTCCCGCTGCAGACATCCCACGAGACTCCTCCTCGTCAAAATCCGAGGCGCGGTCGTCAAAAAACGATGGCGAACCCGAGTCCTGGCAAACCCGGGTCTTACGCTCCACCGACTGCTTGTTCTTGAAAAGAGACAGGCAGGGAGTTGGAGGAGGACGAGCCTTGCCAAATTCGACATGTGCCAGCCACGGCCACGTCGCATTGCCGGCCCTATCGAATTCGAGAACGCAATCGGCCTTCTCGGTGGAGGCTGCAATCAACAAAGCGCCATCGACAATGGCGTCTGCCATGGCTTGGCACGAAATGGCCGGGATTTGTCGTCTTCGACTGCGCGCTCCAAGAACCGTCACAACAGCGACCCAAAAGATTCCTGTGAGCCCCCTTGCCTATGAGAGAGGCCACGCGCACCCCCCACGCGCATTCTTGAAAGCCTCCGGGAGCCCACAATAGCTATCTTGCGCGTCCTCGCACGGCCGATCGAGGCCACATCTATAGATTCTGGCCGGTGCCCACGCTGATCGAAAACCGCGGCGGTAGCCACAGGAGGCAAGACTGACGCAACAAGAGGGGGCCACCTCCACGGTGCGGAGGCAGAGGGGGGCCCAGATCGCAGGGACGGGGCGCCCCATCCACCCCCCCGCCCCCGCGCGCATGCGCCCACACTACATCAGCACAAAAGCCAACAACGATCGGCCTCCGATGCGGAGCGGCCCCCAACGCCTGGGCGCGCAACCTGGGACTCCTCAAGAATTCTGGGTCGTGACACGGGAGGGGGTGCCCTCCTGCCACCGCGCAGCACTCGCCGCATCGCGGGGGGGGGGGGGGGGGGCAGGAATTGCGGGCGCGCCGATCTCGGATATGACCTATCCAATACCAAATAGCGACTGCAGCGGCGAGATGCCCCCAGACCGCATCTATTATGGCGGCGTCCAGAGACAAACCATTGGTTTCACCGTGGGGCACGGGGCGGGCCGACAAATGGGCGCCCCTGCACGTCCCCCGACCTGCGTTTCCTACAAAACAAGCTCAGAACAGTAAATTGCGGGAGGCGCACCCCAGGGGGGAGGGGGTCGGACGACGCGTTCTGGGAAACCTAAGGCCTGAAAGGCCAGAACCCGCCCTCGCGCTCACCCCACGCGGGCGCAGGGCCCTCGACCCTAGACGACACGGCGCGACCGGGGAGCTGCAAAGCAGGACCTCGGGCCGACGACGTCCTAGACCCGCTGCTCGCGGTTTGGCTCCTGCGTCGGCTGCCGCGGCGTTGAGAACCCCCCTCTAGTCCGACCACGCACGCGTCCCGACGGGGCGCAGAGCGCGGCCGACGCACGCCGGGGCGATGGAGATGCAAGACGACCCGCCAGCGGCATCCGCGCGGCGAACGCGGCCACGCAACGCGCACACTACCGAGGATTTCCAAGATCGGGCCGAACTCCATGCGCATCGAAAACCAACGCCATCGAGCAGCGCGGCGTTTCACCCCCTCGACCGCGGGGGGGGCTCCGAGGGCACCACAAGCGCGCGGAGGACGGCATCACCTCTTGACCCTGGGCTCGGAGGGGGCGCTCAAGTCGCGCATGGGCTCGGGGGCGCCCTGCGTCGCGCATCGCCTGGGAAGCCTTGATTTCGGCAACAACCGCTGGGGCGGGCCCCTGGCACGGTGAGAAGCACGGGCCCGCAGGACGCATCCGACGGCGGCCTTCCACCGCATCGCGGAGCACGGCATGAGGCACCCCCATGGGCGGAGATCCCCCCGAGCCCAGGGAGAAGCCCTCAACTTCGGAACGCGCAGGCGCAGCCAGTCTCAGTCATCGAGAGTCCGCAGGCACCGAGAAATGTCGAATCGCACTGCGCAGTAGCCCACGACAGCGAGTAGGCGAGTAGAGCCACGACGCAGCAGCCTGCCACGCCCTAAGACGATGGATGCGCGGTACGGCCTGCAAGCTAAACCCCCAACCATGGCCAGGATCTGGGCCTGGGCCAATGCTCTCGGCGACGCGCAGACTCTGTGGCAAGGCTCTGTATACGCTGGCAATGTCATTCGCGAGCTAGGCCGATGGCGCAAGCGCATGCGTCGGCCAAGTTCGCGCTCGATACAGGCGACGCGAACTCATGCAGGAAATGGCGGCGATAAGACTGGCGCTCGAGATGCCTACTCCGAAGCCTTCACCCACTCGGCCACTGCAGCCTGAAGTCCACGCGCGAGCTCGGGGCCCATGGACCCCGCCTCATTTAGAACAGTGCGAAAATGTGTTTACTGTCGCACTGCAATGGACCATGTCGGTGCGCCACGAACTAGACCTCTCTATCCAGAACTGCCTCTTAGCGATTGCGGAGCCCTCGCCACGGAACTGAAACAAAGCCTCTGTTTTCCCTTGGGCATCACGCAGCCGCATGCCCCTGGACCTGAAAGCGTCGAAGATGATGCTGGCGGCAAACGGCGAGCGCCGTGGGAGTACATTGGACTGCCCGAGCAACATGAACATAGCATCGTCAACGAAGGCTAGAGCCATGGCGCGAGTCGCGCGCGCGCACTGGGACACCTGGACCAAGTAGACGCCGATCGAGCGCGAGTACGAAGCTGGGATGCGTTTCATATATGTTTCAAACCTGTTTTTACATGTTTAAAGCATTCTGAAACATCGTTACATGTTTAACACATTATGAGACATCGCTCTAGACATCTGGAAACTCTTTGGCAGCATGCTTCCTCTCCACTAATCCACTTCCACAAGACTAGATCGCCCAGCTGTTGCCCAGGACAATGCCGACCCGGGGAAGCGCCACGCCAGCGCCACGGGGCACAACGAACCACGTGGACTGGCGCGAGTCCGCCCTCCGCGCGCGGAGCCCCTCGGGGAACTGCGGGGCCCCCGCGAGAGGCCCACGGGCGCCGATGCACGGCTTCAGTTCCCCCGCGGCCCCCGGCGGCGGCCCAGCCCTCCTCCTCCTCCTCCTCCTCCTCCTCCTCCTCCTCCTCCTCCTCCTCCTCCTCCTCCTCCTCCCCCTCCTCCTCCTCCTCCTCCTCCTCCTGGCTTGAGGCGGCGCCGCTCTGCTGCATCAAGAACCCCCCCCGCGCTGCCAAGTCGGCGCCGCCGCGCGCGACTCCGCCGCGCCGTCGAGGCCCCGCGAGAGGAGGCGCGAAGGGGGCCACATATCGTCTGATACAGCTTCGAAACCTCCTGCCCTGATGTGAGGGTCTCAGGATAGGACGATAATCTCACCTGGATACTAGGGGGCCCTTCTTGCGCAGTGGCCAGCAGTCGCCGCCCCCCATTGCAGAGGCGCCGATGCGCACTTGCGCCCTCGGAAACAACCGACGCTGCAGCGGCGCAAGCTCAGGCGCGAGCTCGCGCGCCACGTCGCCAGCGATGCCATCCGGGTCTGCCGCCGAAGCTTTGGCCCTGCATCACGAATGCGCCGTTGCGCACAGACCCCTGGGAGCGAACTCGACACGGCCTCAAAGCTCCAGGGGCAATTCCCGATTATGAACCCATGCGCTGCACCGAGCAAGGTACGAGAGGGAGATGACGGGGCCAACATCAACCATTGCAAAGTGCCGGGCCCCCCCGACTGCTGCCCGCTCTGCAGATTCAAGCGGGGCCGCCCTGTAGCCGCGCAATACCAAGGGACCCCTTGCCTGACCCTCTCGGCGCATGCACCGGTGGACCGCGGCCCCCTCAAAGCTTCCAAGTGATCGCGGCGCGACCACTCACTGGAAGTGCCACTGGCGATGCCACGGGCGCGCTGCCGAGCACCCGCCCGAAGCTGGCGGCCCACGACCGCGGCGGACAGCCGCGGGCAAGCGCGACGCATGACCCGCACGACCTCGGCCCCCACTGCGAACGAGTCGACGATGCCCGCGCAGCTTTGCGAACATCCAGAAGGGCCTCCAGCGAAAATATCATTTGCTCGATCCATCCAAGCCCCCTGAGCGGCCCCCTCGGAATCCCCCGCGCGACGCGGTCGACGCGACGCCTTCTTTTTCCACGCCGGCGATGGCGGGGGGGGGCGCCGCGCGGAGTCGCGACAGCCCGCGGCAGGCAGGACGGCAAAGGAGGCCAAGAGGGCGCGCCCCAACACGCGGTGGAACAACAACCCAGGCACGCTCTCTGATTCGGCCCATTACCCGCGCTGCCCGAAGCCACGGAGCCCTGGGTGCCATTGGAGCCCCTGGACCTCTGGGCCGAGGGGGCCCGGGATCCCGTCGAAGAAACGCCCCGCCATACTCCGCCATTCTCGCGGCTGCGGGGCCGCCGCAACACTGCGCGCGCGCCATGGCCCGCGATGACGTCGCAGCGCTGCGCGCCCGCGCGGGGCCGCCGCGACCAGAAAGCGCGCACCGGCGCGCAGCGCTCTGCAGTGCCTGGCAGGACGCCCGTGTCCATCCGCGCAAGTAGATTGCGCTGGCCCAGAGTGAGCAACCAGAGCGCTCGCGCTGTTCTGCTCCTGCGCGCAAGACGCAGCAATCGCCCGCAGCCCCACGCCAACCCCTGGCGAACCTTGTCTCACGCGCTCCTGCGATAAAGACCCCCCAGAACAAAATATGCCACTCCCCCAGGAAGAGAACCTGAAACACGTTTTTTTCCCGAGCAGCCCTGGGGCCCAACGTCCGCGCGTCAGCAGCAATCGGACGCGGCGCCCTCGACGGCGCGGGCGGTCGACGTTCGCCAGGCACGCAATGGCCAACGCGGGCGCGGGGCTGCAGGCCCGCGAGCTGAAGGACGGCGGGTCGCGACAACAGCGCTTCGACACCACGGGCTGGAAGGCGTCGCGCCCTAACCTCGTCGGGTCGCGCGACGAGCAACGCCAGCGCAAGACTGCTCAACTCCACGCGAACCTCCTCGTGCCAGCGCACTGGCAGGGCTTCGGGAAGCATGCGTCGAAGCGAAACTAAGCGGAATAGCGCACCGGCAAGCTCACTCCACGGCTGCTCCGCGCGCCCTGGCACACGCGCAACAGAACACCTGGGCGCCCCAAATTGGCAGAGTGGAGCGAGCCCCATCGAGCCCGTGCACGCGAGCCTCCTGAGCCCCGTAACTGGCCCCAGCCCCTGCGACGCCAAGGGCGCCCACATTGTCCCCAAGCACGGAGACCTCCAGAGCACGAGCAATGCCCGACTGAACCATCCAAGCAAGAGCCTACTGAGCAGCCAGGATTTGGGCCAGGAACGAAACCAGGAAGTTGGACGCACCCCCAGGATCGCACGCTTGAGGTGCGCATCCCAAGAGCGCCCGAACTGAACGGCAATCGGTTGCCAGAATCACGAAGGCCCAACTGCGAGGCCCAGCGCGCGAAAAGTCATCTAAAGCTTGATCACCTGGAAAAATAACTACCCCGCCAGAGCAATCCGCACACGTCTCAAGAGACAACCACTTGGATAAGTCCCGCAGGGCAGAGAGACCTGAAAAGGCACAAATAATAAAGGAGTGGAGACGGTGTGACTGGCCGAGTGCGTCTGCACCTAACTCCACCACACCCAGGGCTTCGGGATAGCATCGGCCAGGGCCAGAGTGCCTGGGAGGAGGGAGAAAGCAAATCCCCCGACGAAGGCATCCCAGGTTTCATTTGGTGCTTGAGACTCAAGAGGGGTCGAGTCCAGCATGCTGTCAGAGGCACCCCATCATGATGGCTCCTCCGCTGCTCGAAAAACTGCATGTGCTTCACTCAAGAAGGCACCCTTCTGCACTGATCTGCTGTTGCCACGTCTTTCTCGTGTGCTGTTCGAACAGAGGTGGCTTGTACGAGCTTGGGCATCGCGTCCTGCTCCCATTCGAGGGCGGTGTGCACCCTGGTGCGGGCGCGCTCGAAGTACTGCACATGGTTGTTGGTGCGCTCCCGCGGGGGGTGCGCCGAGATGCACATGCACAAAACCGTAGCATCTGTGTGTTCCAGCGCCTGTAGTCGGTTTGGTCAAATATTGAGCGAGCGCTGGCACGTCAGTTGCTGCTCTGAGGCCTTCAGCGAGCTCTGCTGGGTCAATCGGTGAGCAGCCAGTTCCTTCACATCCTTCGGTGGTGCCACCCAGCTCAGATGAGTTTGCGCCGCTTCTGCTGGTGCAGGGGGAATGCTCACTGTTGTCACCGCAGCTGGACCCTGAGCGGCAGCGAGCGGCGCGGCTGGGGTTTCGCCCTGGCGTTGCGCCTTGTCCTTCCTCTCCGACCTGGGGGTTTAGGATATGTTTTTCGTCGTTGTTCCTTGGAACTGCTGGGGCGGGAAGCACCGTGAGCATATGGTCTTGGACGGCCAAGTCTACGCGCCACGAGCTGGACAAGATCATGGGCCACCCGCTCGGGCGCCACAACGAGCTGGGGCGGAGGCCGAGCTGGGCGATTGCCCTGGACCAGCCCCTCGCGTCCATGGTGCTGGCGTCGGCTGCCTGGCCCCGTGGTGCTGAGCAAGGAATCGTCTGGCAGCCGCGAGGCGGACGCGTACCCGTGCCCGTCCGCGCTCGGCGCGCGCGCGCCTGTGCCAGGAGGGCTCTTGCACGCGGCCCGCGTGCGCACGGCCTCCGGGGCGGCGGCCACGCTGCAGCCCTGTGGCGGCGGCGTGGGCGCCTTGGGGCGCGTGTGGCAGCAGTCCCGTGGAGGGGCTCGCAGGTACCTGGAACCTACTCAAGGGGCACCTCGAGCCCAAACGGCGGCTGGAGGAGGGTGGGAGAAGATGGAGGAGGGAGGGAGGAGGAGGAGGAGGAGGAGGTAGGGAGGAGGTGGAACGTCCTCCAACAGCTTGATCTCAGCCCTGGTGATGTCGTCGACCTTGTAGACGTCCAGGTCCTCTCGGGGGGCGGCGCCAGCCGCACTGCGTGGCGCAGGCCACCAGACGTGTCGGCAGGGCCCTCGCTCCGCCTGAGAACTCCTGAGCACTCATGGTTCCGCTGGTGCAAATCCCGACAGCTACGCTGATGGAGGGCGGGAAGATTTCAAAATGTGGCTCTCGCCTTTGCGCTGCGCACATTAGACTTGAACATGTTCTTACAGTTCGTAGGATATGGGGGCAAGTCGTGTTCAAAATGTGGGTCTCGCCTGAGCGCAGCGCACCCGAACCTGAATCAAGACGGAAAACGCGAAATGCAAGAGTGTGCGACAATCACCGGTGGATCCTTTTCAGAATGGGGCGCTCGCTTGAAACTTCCTTCACATGCACGGCCCGCAGTGTGCAACAGTGCATCGATTACACGGATACAGAGCGCATCTTTCCAAAGTGCAGGCTATGGCTTGAGACTTCCTCAAAATACAGCCCGCAGTGTAGAAGTGTGCAACAATGAAAACGACGGCGGGCGCTTCCAAAGTGGCAACACTCGCTTGACAGATCCTCGAAAATACTGCCCGGTGTTTAACTATGTGCAGCATTTTGGGGGGGCAGGAGGAGGGCGCGACCGCAAGAACTCCCGCGACGCGGCTGCCACCACAGTGCGAGACGATTCCGCAGCAGCGCGAAGATCAGACACAAGCTAGGCACGCGCAGTGGCCACCACACAGGCACACGCCGCAACGCGTGCACCGACCCCCCTTGACGCGAATGGACGGCACCCCTTCCCCAAAACGGGGCCGTCGCTGTACGCTTCGTGGCCCTGTCGCGGTCCTCAGTGCAGTTCCTCTTCAACCGGACCCTTGCCCCTGAACGGCAGGTCCCTGGGGCGCTCGCTTTTCTCAAGGGTCCCCAGGGGAGCAGGAATCCACATCGGGACGTCTGGGAGCAGGGCTTTGGACGGGAGGGGATTTTACTGCATCGCTGACGCATCCTGGTTTTACCGTGGTCGGCCTCCTCCTCGCGTGTTCGAGTTCGTCCCTCTCCTTCTCCTTCTCCTCCTCCTTCTCCTCCTCCTCCTCCTCCTCCTCCTCCTCCTCCTGCTCCTCCTCCTCCTCCTCATCCTCCTCCTTATCCTCCTCCTGATATTCTCATCATCAGCATCCTCTTCTTCCTCCCTCCTTCTCCTCCTCCTCCTCCTCACCACCACCACCGCCATCATCATCATCATCATCATCATCATCATCATCATCATCATCATCATCATCATCAGCATCATCATCATCATCATCATCATCATCATCATCATCAGCATCAGCATCACATCAGCATCAGCATCAGCATCATCATCCTCATCCCATCATCTCATCATCATCATCATCATCATCATCATCGTCATCATCATCATCATGATCATCATCATCATCATCATCAGCAGCATCATCGTCTTCATCATCATCATCATCATCATCATCATCATCATCATCATGGCATGATCATGATCATATCTGATCATCATCATAATATCATCATCATGAGCATCATCATCATCATCAGCATCATCATCATCATCATCATCATCATCATCATCATCATCATCATCATCATCATCATCATCATTATCGTCGTCATCATCATCATCATCATCATCATAATCATCATCAGCATCATCATCATCATCGTCAGCATCATCATCATCAGCATCATCATCAGAATCATCATCACCACCATCATCATCATCATCGTCATCATCATCATAATCAGCATCATCATCATCATCCTCATCATCATCATAATTATCAGCATCCTCATCATCCTCATCATCATCATCAGCATCATCATCAGCATCATCATCATCCTCATCATTAGCGCACAGGATCAGCATCAGCATCATCATCATCAACATCAACAACAAGAACAACATGAGCATCATCATCCTCCTCATCCTCATCCTCATCATCATCATCATCGTCGTCGTCGTCGTCATCATCATCATCATCATCATCAGCATCAGCAGCAGCAGCATCATCATCATCAACATCATCATCATCATCATCACCATCACCATCACCATCATCATCATCATCATCGTCATCATCGTCATCATCGTCATCATCGTCATCATCAGCATCAGCATCAGCATCAGCATCAGCATCAGCATCAGCATCAGCACCAGCACCAGCACCAGCATCAGCATCATCATCAGCAGCAGCATCAGCATCATCATCATCATCAGCATCAGCATCAGCATCAGCATCAGCATCAGCATCATCATCATCATCATCATCATTATCATCATCTTCGTCTTCATCTTCAGCATCATCAGCATCAGCATCATCATCATCACCACCACCATCACCATCATCATCATCAGCATCAGCATCATCAGCATCATCATAACATCATCATAACATCATCATCATCATCATCATCATCATCATCATCTTCATCATCATCATCATCATCAGCATCATCATCATCACCACCACCACCATCATCTTCAGCATCATGATCATCATCATCATCAACAGCATCGTCAGCATCAGCATCATCATCATCACCAGCATCATCATCATCATCATCATCATCATCATCATCATCATCATCATCATCATCATCATCATCATCATCTGCATCAGCATCACCATCATCATCATCATCATCATCATCATCATCATCATCATCTTATCATCCTCCTCATCATCAGCAGCAGCATCAGCAGCATCATCTCGGCATCATCATCAGCATCAGCATCATCAGCATCATCATCATCATCATGATCGTTATCATCGTCGTCATCAGTAGCATGATCGTCATCATCTGCAACATCAGCATCATCAGCATCGGCATCAACATCAGCATCAGCATCAGCAGCAGCATCATCCTCCTCCGCATCAGCATCATACGCATCATCAGCATCAGCAGCATCATCACCATCAGCAGCATCATCATCAGCATCAGAATCGTCCTAGCATCCTCCTCGTCCTGACTCCCATCTTCATCATCATCCTCCTCATAATCAGCATGATCAGCACCATCACCACCATCAGCATCATCATCATCATCAACATCATCATCAGCATCATCAGCATCACCACCAAAACCCTCATCAGCATCAGTAGCACCAGCATCACCATCGCCATCACCGTCATCATCATCAGCATCACCGAAGTCAGCATCATCATCAGCATCATCAGCATCATCAGCATCGTCATCATCATCGGCATCATCATCATCACTATCACCAGAATCATCATCAGCATCATCAGCAGCATCATCACCATCACCATCATCATCATCATCAGCAGCATCGTCAACATCAACATCAGCAGCAGCATCAGCAGCAGCAGCATCATCAACATACGTATCATCAGCATCATCATCAACATCAACATCAGCAGCAGCGTCAGCATCATCATCATCATCATCATCATCATCATCATCATCATCATCATCATCATCATCATCGCCATCGTCGTCATCATCGTCATCATCATCAGCAGCAGCACCATCATCATCATCAGCATCAGCATCATCCTGCCAGTGCCCGCCTCCTACCCTCCTCCTCCTCCTCATCCTACCCTCCTCCTCCTCCTCCTCCTCCTCCTCCTCCTCCTCCGCCTCCTCCGCCTCCTCCGCCTCCTCCGCCTCCGCCTCCGCCTCCTCCTATCACCCTCCCCCTTTCCCTCCGACCCCCCCTGCCCCTGGCCGACACTCTGCGAGAGGCAAGGGGGCGCCGTGGCTTCGCAGCTCGGGGACCCCTTCAACCGGCAAGCTGCTACACGTGATCCACTGGGTCAGGCAGACAGAGGCGGGGAGGGGGTGGGGTCGGGGGGTCGGGGGAGAGGGGAAGGAGGAGGAGGAGAGGGGGAGGAGGAGGAGGAGGAGGGGGGGGGTCGGGGGGTCGGGGGAGAGGGGAAGGAGGAGGGGGGAAGGGGGCAGATCGGTTGGAATAGCACTGCGTCAGAATCACGGCGGGCCGGCTGCAGTGGCGCCGAGAGTGGTGGCCGTGAGGAGCGTCACGGAGAGAGCAAGAGAGGGAGAGAGACAGAGAGAGGGAGAGAGAGGGTGATGGCCTCCACGAGAAGCAGATAATGCAGCGCTCAAGACGAGGCCACTCCGCCTCCCGGCAGCAACACGGCTCCTTCACGAAGATCAGGATCGGGAGGATCAGGTGCCTGGCGATATGTTCGCCCTCCCACCTCGCACCCCCTCCCTCCGCCGTGATTGTCCTCAAACATCCTCCTCATCCTCCTCATCCTCCTCCTCGCCCTCGTCCTCGTCCTCGTCCTCGTCATCATCATCATCATCATCATCCTCCATCGCATCCACACCCTCCACACCCTCCTCCTGCTCCTCCTCATCCTCCTCCTCCTCTTACTCCTCATCATCCTCACGAATAAAAACATCTTAACAAACCACAACAACAACAGCACATCAACAATAAAAACAGCAACCTCAACACCAACAGCAGCAACAACATAAGCAACAATCAAAACCACAACAACCAT